ATTAACATATGATCTTCTCACTTTTTTTTATTTTAGTTTTCTGGCAACAGCTGGAGTTGAATAGCAATTTTTGTTTCCCATGTTAATCTTACGGAGAAATACGAAACTTTAAAGGGCCCCAGGGCCTCACTCTCTGATTATTTCCCTAAAAAGAAAGTTTCCTGCACAACTTCACGTTACGCTCTTTCCAATGACACCAAAAACATGTCAATTGGTTTAGTAGTTTCGGAGGAGTAATTGTCACAAAAAACATGCTTGTGTATTAAATAAGTAAATAGATGACCAGGACAGTTGAGCTCACTTTCGAACCATAAAAAGCTACCAACCCTTAGCATATATATATACGTAAATGGCAAAGAAAGAATTATTTGCTGCTACTGGATAGCAGAGTGTCATGTCACAAGTTCAAAGGACAATTAGTACATTGATCTGTTATACATAGTACCCAATCATTCCGTGTTAGATCATCTACCGTCAACACGTCATAAGTATATTGCTATCTCCTGCGATCATGGCAACATCGTAGTTGTCTCAAACGACCACAGCAACGTCGTGGTAATCTCCCACGATTACGGCAACGTCGTTATCATCTCTTATGATCACGGATATATCATGGTAATTTACCTCAAACACAAAATGTGTGACATGACGACCTCAAAATATAACAAACAAAACTTTGTGGCTGATTATTGTCATTATTGTATAATAATAAAAACGTAAAATTTCTCGTCACTTTAAAAAGACATTCGTAAAATTCATGGACACACTATAGGCCGGTTTTCGTTTGAAATGAATTAGTTTTATATTTCCTTTTAAATTTCCTTTTCACGCGATTTGGCCGTTGACATTCCTTAAGATGAAAACAAAATTCAATAGGTGTACATACTTGGCAATCTTTCAAAACAAAACTCTAGTTTAGTTTCGAATTCTTCACTTTTATTCGTCAGTTGCTATTTATGTTTTAAAAGAAGCGGTTACCCATTTATTTGCTAGGCATATATTTTATTTTTAGTGGAAATGCAAATAAGTCAGCTGGGCATCTAAACAAATAAAGTCACATTTTCGTCATAATACAGCAAAAACAGCCGTTTTTAATGCATGCATTGTAGATTTAAAGTAGCATTTTTACTTTCTAGGGAGAAATCAGCTGTTGTAAATTATAGTAAATTTCGATTGTGGCAACCGTATTGATCGAAATTATTTATCGATTGATTTAGGGCTTTAGCCTGCTGTTGACGATTGCTCGACATATCGATGGTATAGGAACACAATCGTAATAGACGAAATAATTGAATTACTTACTAAACAGCTGCTTATTTGCATAAGCAGAATTGGAAACAAGCTGGAATTCGTTTTGAGAGGTTATCTTTCAATACAAATTATTTAGTTTTCTAGCTCTGTTTTTGTTAATTGATACAATATGAAGAAAATTTAGTTAATCACACGGGCAAAAAGTGACTGTTTAACCCTTGCTCATTTTCCGACCTCAGCTTCTCCTTGATTGTAAAACGTGACCTTTGGTCAAAAAGAGTCACTTTAGGCCCTAGTGACAAAATATACTATTTTGTCTGTTTATTGCGAAGAGTAATAAAGTTTTTTGTTATTTTTAAGATTCACATATTAAGATATCCAAAACTACTCTTATTTCAATTTCTGTCTGTTTGTTTGTTTGTCTGTCTATTATTGTGTCTGTAACGCCAAAATGCCAATTTACGTGGCCTACTCCGAGAAAACTATAGTACCCATCAAGATTTAAATAATTTTCCCTTATTCAATGGGTTGGTGAAAGTGTCTATTAAAACATGGTTACTTTGGAAATAAAATAACGAACCTTCAACGACCCAATTTTGAGAGATTTTTGTTTCTCTGAACGTTTACTACGAATGTATGTCATTAAATGGCGTATGTCTGTGTAATTAAATGACGTTGTTGGTCTGATTACTTCTTGCGTGGACTGTACTAGCGCCTCGGCGGTGGAGTCACTTTTGGCACTAATGATACTCGGACCGTTAAAAACTCGGACAAATGATATTTCAACATTATTTTAAACTCTTTTAAAACCTCTGACAAATGAAAGCTCGGACAGTTGATTTAACCAAATACTATTATTCCAATTTAAACCATCCTTGGACAAATGAAAACTTGGACAGTTTATTTGTTGAAGTATTATTAGTTATTTATTAAACCTCGTACAAATGAACTTTGGGCAACTGATTTTCCTAATATTTAGTAATTTTTAGCAAACTCGGACAACTGAAAACTCAGACCTAAACCAATAAATTAAACAGTTTCATTTTTATATCAGTGCGTTGTAATATAATGTCAGCGTTGACTCTGAAAGAGGTGCAAAGGTTACAAACTCCAGGCGCTGCCGGTGCGGCACAGCTTTGTTTTCAAATGCTTATATCTCGGAAACGGCTTGAGATACGGCAAAACTGTTAAAATTCTAGCATACTACGTGGGTATCAACGTTTTATTACAAACAATAATACAGCATAACAAAATCCAAAAATCTAAAATTATTTTAACATTATTTTATATGGGTAGCCAAACACTTGTTAATTAGTTTGAAGTTTATACATTGAATAATCATTTCTGGCTGGACGTGAAAGTAAATAATCGTTAAAACTACGCTTTTCTGGCTTGCAACTACTGTAATTCATTTAAAATACATTTAAAATTTACTAATGGTTCACGTATTAAGGATAACAGCTAATTATTCGGTTAAGTTTGCATTAAGATGCATGCACTTAATGCATTATTAAAAACATGTAAACTAGGACTTGAGAAAGCTACAACCAAACGGGTATTTTTCACTTTGTGTACGTATCACACTAAAGGGATTATTCCCACGATCTGCTACACATGTTAGAAATGAGGACTTGGGTGGCGTGAGGACCTAACGCAAGCGAGACTAGGGAAGTGTGGTGGGGGGAGTACCTAACGTCGGCATGAAGGAACGTTAAGTACTCACCGCAGGTCCTCACTATCGAGCACTTATCGTCGTCCTCATGCTCGAATGAGGACTTAACGTCGGCTCAATCAAACTATATATATATATATATATATATGTGTCCGTCAGCACGATAACTCAAGCAAAAATGATCCGATTTTGATGAAATTTGGTACAAACGTGTAAACCTACGTTTATTCGAACGAGTTCGCGATCCAGCATGATCGGACCATGTGAACGGGTGTTTACGGGGGGTTTTATGGGGTAAAAATAGGTTTTTCCCATTTTTGACCCAAAAAACTTAAAATTTTGCAATTTATTACCAAACCATTTTGTAGAGCTTAAAAAAACAAATAATTTAGTATATTGAAGCGTTATTATGCGCCTAACGGTTACGGAGAAAATTACAAAAAATTGTAAATTTAAAATTCCCATGTTATTCTTATGAAGAATAAGTAAACTGTTGTAGTTTGCTTGTTTATGAACATATTTTGATCACATTTGGAAAATGTTTTTATTTCTTACTAACTATTAAAATTTTACAAAAAAAAACAACAATTTTACCCTCCCTGATGCAGCAAACCTAAGTACTTGTTAAACTAATTCTATTTAAATCCGGAATAAATGTTATATTTTTAAGTAGACATTTCAGTGTAAATCCAATCAGTCAAATGGAAATTCGCTTAGTCTGCAGGTTTGCTGCGGCGGGGGTATTTTATATGTACAGTAAGCATGTATAAGTATCTAGCCTATTTTGACTTGATTTGTTTTGCTAAAACATAGGCTGTTTATGTGAAAGCTGAATTTTTGTTGACTTTTGTCTATTGCATTTGTTGTAGAAGGACAGTAAAACGTTTCTGATTTCTATTTAGGTCTCAGAGATATTGTAATCGCCTCCTGCGAGTGTGGTAACATCCATGATCATCTTTTGTGGTCATAGAGATTTCGTGATCGTCTCCAGTGACCCCTATTTCCTTATGACGGGAGAAGTAAACTAATAGGACACAGCCAATGAATGCTAGGCTTGGTTAGGCTATTGACGATTATTTCATGTTTCCTAGTCAAGTGTACAAAACAAAAGTACAATTTCAGACTTTTTCCTAGTCATCAAAATTCAAGTACAATTCCCGGTTACCAGGTTGGCTGGACACTGTTTGAATATGAATTTAGTATAACATGTCTCACACTTGACACTGTTTTTCGCAATTAGGTGAAAGCAACTCTTAACACATTGAGTGTGGTGAAAATATCAGCGGGTGCTTCACCAGGGCCTGATTTTATATTTTTTTACATAAAATCTTACCATTTGTTCCCAGAAGTGAGGATCCAGGTCAAAAATGGTGTTTTCACCTTTTTTTTTAAAAAAAAAATGGCGTCCAAAATCGCCAGTCACTGGTGACCAGACCGGCCTGCGCAATGACATTTATAGAAAAAAGGCAAACTAAAAATGTTAAATTGCACTATATTTATTTATTATTTCAAACTATTTACAGCCCCTTCCTCCCTCTAATCCATCGTTTTTTTACACTCAAACTGTGTCGTGGAACTGGTTGAAAGTTGAAACAATTCCCTATGTATAATCCTGGTTTGTCCGGGCAAGTGCTACAGAAAAACAAACAAACTGATAAACAACAAACAATATGTTTGTGTCTCATAACAGTCAAAACACAAAAGAAGTACCTCAATAAGTGTGCAGTTATTAAATTTGTAAGTAGGAATTTACAGGTCACGGGTGACCGGCGACTGTCCGCGGAACGGAGGGCGAAACACACACATTAGAGGTTAGGTTATGCTAGTAACGCACTTGTCATAACTCCTGACTACTCCTCAAGACCGTGCCACAATGACTGATTCATTTCAGCGAGACCTTGCCGAGCACCGGTGACAGGGCCAGTCTGCGCGCAAGTTTTGCGGTCTGTCCTCGGTGATCAACCACTCAACTTGTTAACCAACCAAATGTTCCAGGGAATAAACACCCTCACACAAAAAGACTGGTTGGTTTAATTGGTGTTTTATATCAATACAACTCGGCTACTCTGTGTTGCAGTGTCACTGAGGTGGAGACTTCACTTTGAGTTTGTCACTACACAGCCAGATTCGGTGTTCCGTCTACCACCAGACAGCAGCACCTGGCAAGGCCCTGGCCTCCTCACCATAGAAACCATGATATGGGACTTGCCCATACAGATATATCCGTCCTTACCTACGCCTGAACCCCAGACCAACACCCAATACTCACAGCTTGTATAGTAGACTACTTGTTGTGTATAACGTTTTGTTTATAAATATTTAATAAATAACCAATAAATACTTCCAACAGTATGTTACTTATTTTTTGGTACAGTACCTGGGGACCGAGCTTTGCTCGGGGAAAATCATTAGTTTACTCTGAAAGCAGTCTTAGTATTGCAGATACTGTACATAAATCCATTCCCAAACTCCGCAGTGCTCGCCTTTACCACTCCCAACGTCGTGGACCTGTTTCCCCCTTCCCATTGCATCTTAGAATTGCAGATACATAATTGTAATTTAGGCAGACAGTACCCATACTCTGCACTGCTAGTCTTACTACTTCCTTCACCACTTCTTACGTAGTGGACCTCTTTCCCACCCTTCCCATAGTATTTCAGGATTGCAGATACCTTAATCTAATTGTCATAAACGGTTCCCACACTCCAGACTACTCGCCTTTACTACTTCCTTCACCGCTTCATTCGTCGCAAACCTGTTTCCCTCCCTTCCCATTCCATTTAAGATTGCAGATGCCTTAATTTAATCGTCATAAACAGTTCCTACACTCCGGAAAGCTGGGATTTACTATTTCCCTCATCCACTTCCTACGTCGCGGACCTGTTTCCTCCGTTCCCATAGCATTTTAAGATTTCAGATACATTAATCTAATTGTCATAAACAGTTCCCACACTCCAGACTACTCGCCTTTACTACTTCCTTCACCACTTCCTATGTCGCGGACCAGTTTCCGTCCCTTCCCATAGCATTTTAGGATTGCTAATACATTAATCTAATCGTCATAAACAGTTCCCACACTCCAGACAGCTCACCTTGACTACTTCCTTCACCACTTCCTACGTCACGGACCTGTTTCCCTCCCTTCCCATAGCATTTCAGGATTGCATTTCAGGATACCTTAATCTAATCGTCACAAACAGTTCCCACACTCCGTACAGCTCGTCTTGATTACTTCCTTCACCACTTCCTACAGACCACCACCTACGTCGTGTACCTGTTTTCCTCCCTTCCCATAGCATTTTAGGATTTAAGATACCTTAATCTAATCAAAATAAACTAAGCACAAATCTGCTACCCAATAAATATAAAAGGAGGTGTATGAGTTAAGCTAATTAAAGATTATTCCATCCTCTCATTAATTTAACTACCGTACTCGACATTGACAGAAATTGGTTTTTCAGTTGTAGTATAATATGCTCAATGGTATAATCTGATTGCTCATTTCTAATGCTCTGTACACATTGTTATTTCCTTTTGGTCTGTGTAAACATATGCTACATATCCTCGGGAAGTGCTTCAAGAGCTGTCTGAGCATGCGCTAGCTGAGGTGCCCGTGGGTACAGAACGTCACGTTATGTCTTAAAATGTAAACAAAATGACAATAATGGCGGAATGTTTTCTCATAAGGCCCATGTTAAATTTTCAAAAGTTTGTACTCATATTGTGGCAAAAATAGATTTTTCCTGGCTATACCACTGGTCTAGAACTTATTTTTGACACAGAACTTGTTATTCCGTAAATATAAACGTTTTTGTTAGGGCCGATTCCCAGATCGAGTTGACAATTATTCAAACTTTACTCGTATTATATATAGGATATTAATTTTATCCTTTAAGGAAAACTTTGGTTACAGTACTATAATTTTCTTCATTAAAGAATTGTCCTAATTTTAAAAATAGAGTTTCACAAACTGCACTCCAGTCTTAAGGACTAAATATTTTTTTAGCTTGAAGATATTTTTTATTTAAACAGAATGGTTTCTCAAAAGTAATTTTTATTTTAGATTTCAAATCAGAAATCTGTGCGTGCATGCACATGTGGCATTCACTGAGAGCCAAATATTTGACTAGTGGTGAGCTATTTGTTTTTGCATTTGCCAGTGTCTGAGCAGAGATATCCACACTTGTCACTATCCGAGCAGTGGCTTTGTTGTGAAAATAGCAAATATTTGTCAAATTGATGCCGGCTTATGTTTGCCAAATGATGAGTAGACAAACACTCAATTCACATTAGTCTGATTCCGCGAGTAGCTGTTAGGTGTTCTCCAAATGGTGCATGAGCAGACCTGCCTATAATTCTCTACACCAACTTGTTTTCAAGTCATTATTGTTAACTGGTTGTTCTGCCCGTTCTTCGCAACAGGTCAAAAATACTTGAGAGAGAAATATGGGACTCTAAAACTACTGTAAATAAAATCATAAATCATAAATCATTTATTTGGCCAGATTTACATGAATGCATTGGCTAAGTCAATATACATTTACAAAAATACAGATTGTCTTATAAACTATAAAATAACTACTAAAACAAACAATATTTACATGTAATCAATTCATGAACCAAGCATACCATATGCCCATGACTACCCATCAGCAATAAAATCACGGACACGGTAGTAACACTTGGACACCAGTAATTTTCGAAGTGATTTTTTAAAAACAACAGGGTTTGACTCAATTTTTAGATGTGTTGGCAGTGCATTGAAAAGCAGTATACCGTTATAATAAAGATGTTTTTTGAAAAAGGTGGTTGAATGTTTTGGTATCTGAAGATTAAGACTGTTTCGCAAAGAATATGGACATGATCTGGAACTTGAAAAAATGGAAATGTTCTTTTTCAGAAAAGAGAGTGTTTCAAGGATGTATATGCATGGAAAAGTTAAAATATTTGAAGACTGGAAAAAATCTTTGCATGAAGTTCGTGAGCTGATTTTAAAGATGGTTCGAATTGCTCTCTTTTGAAGTCGAAATAGAAATCTGGTCCTTCCATTCTCATATCCCCATGCCGGCACTGCGTATACTAAATGAGGGAAAATGACCCCATAATAGGCGGGATATAAAGGGGTGGATTCACATGCTTAGACCTTGTTACTTCAGGAGTCTGGCTCACTCTAACTTTAGTCTGAGCTGAAATATTACTGTTACAATCACCTACACAAGCTTCGGGGACAGATATAACACTAAATCTATTTGTACTTAAGACTGATTGGTTATGAGGTACAACTTGTAACTTGCAGCTATGCTTACTCTTCTTAACAACCTGCCATTTGCCATTGCAACCTTTTTTCATATTTATTTTTAAGTTTACAGGTTTGCTATTGCTGATGGGCGCCTTATCGCTAAGACTACTGCTATTACAAGAGATACTTTCTGTGCTTGGCACCGTTAACCTATCATTACAATTTGTAAAGTGTTTTGCTGGTTTGAATTCTACAAACCAGTCACTGATGTTTGTTTTTTGACGCAATTCTTTGGGCTGGCTACAATAGCCATAGCTAATTATTTTTGCATTAACTAGCACATGCAAACCACACTCAAAACTGTTTGTCTGCTGCAAGCAGGACACGTCGGTGAACATCTGTTTATCTACACCTAAACGCTGAGCTAGGTCAAGTGCTACAGTGTGGTTGGTACTTGCGAGAGAGTCAAAGTGGTAGGCAGTATTAGACTCAATGTCAACAATTAAAAGACTCCAATGAGTGCCACATTTCTCATTACCACTAGACGTACGGTTATTTATACAGCAAAAAGCAAACTGAACTGTTTTGTAACTAAGGTCTGTTAACATTTTTTGAACATCAGACTGATTCCCATGTATAAGGATTTGAGTGACCGTTGGCCCAAGGAACAGACACTTTGAGTTTGGATTTCTATTTACACTAAAAGCATCAAAGTATGATTGGATTGATCTGTCATCAAGCCACCTACTACTATCCCATACTAGATCCTTAGATTGAAGCAGGTCATTTTTCATATTGAGGATTAGAGAATTTAATTCATTAATTTTTGTTGTAGAGGCGCTTAATTTATTACTTAAATTAGTGCATTCACTTTCTTTACCATTTAGAAGGTCAATTATTACCTTCTTTTCATTGACAAGATTTTTTACAGTAGTTTGTAATTCAGTAATCTGCTGTTGCAGTGAAAGGTTAGTATTTTCTACCTTGCCTTTTTCACTCTCCAGTTCATCCTGGATGCACAGAGAATTATTAATATCTAAATTACGTCTACATTTTTCTTCAATAAGAAGAGATTCAAGATGGCTTATCTCCTCTTTTAGTTTAATGTTACATTCAGAGAGCTCTTTGTTGCATACAAGATTACTTTCAAGATGTTTTATTAAGTTTACGACATTGTTTACTAAACTACTTATATCAATGTCAGCATAGTTAGCAGATAAGTTTGACAAATCCAAACAGAGATTAGACGCTATTATTTCAGAATTCGAGTCTAGATTTGAAACTTCATACATCATATTCCAAAATTCCCGCATTTTAACAATTTAAAACAACCAATTACATAAATAAGGAATACACATTTATTCAGGAGTTTAATAAAAAAAAAAAACATCCAAATAGAAACACACAGTTACATCAATTTCATAACCCAGAATGTTTATTATGTTGTTAGTCATCAACGAGAAAAAAATTCAATTCCATTCGCATAGACCCAATATGCAAAGTGTTCCAGCCGTGTTGCGTGGTTCCTGCAAATATACAAGCGGCAACTGTCTCTGGGGTAATGATGTGGTGGCTGCGTCTGAGGCCAGGCGGCGAAGCAAATTGGTGGTGGACAAGACGGTGGAGACGTTTCGTATCGCTACGTTGGCAACCCTGCAGCCAGCAGGAAAGTCGGCGTGCGCGGAATGGGATGCGCAGCCGTATTTATTTCACTTGCTAGTTTTTCCGACAGGCCTATTGCAGTGTTAGTTACACAGTTTTCAACATTTATTTACTTACTAGGTCCATTTGAAGTAATAAAGATAACCAACAAACTATAAAATGTCACTGTGTATCACTTAATATCTTCAATATCAGCTGTAAACCGTGTTTAAATCGTTTAACACTTACCTTGTATTATAAAAAAAATCTCAATTGAAAATACTGTGTGGCAGAATCAAAACTAATAACTGTGTTGTAATGTAAACAAACGTATATACATATGCATAATGGGATCAAAAAATTTAAATACTCTTATTTGAAATGGCGACCATACAAAGGTAGGTAATTTTAAGCCATGCATGAATGGAGATGAGCGTAGGATGAGTGGCGTGATCTTGTATATTATTAGTAATTCAGGGAAAAGGTTAACAAAATATAAATGAAAACAAATCTAATAGCTGATGCATCTTCGATATTTAAAATCTGATTAAATACAACACTTTAAATTGGTGTTTGTGCCCTTAAGAGAGGGTTTATGGGAAAACTCTTTCAGGGAAGTTTCACATCAAGACCTCTTTCATTCAAGAAAGCGGTTGACAGATGTGCGGCTTAAGGTTTTCTCAAATAGAAGGCAAGGACTCCCACCTGGGAGTGATTGTACATAAACCAGGGGCCCTATTTTTGAAACGGTTGACTGTTGAGTCACTCACTTTCCAATCGTTTTGTATTTTTCAAATGATTGACAGTTGACTTATCCAACTAAAGCTACCATTGAGCTACCGATTGAGTATTGAGACCTATTGAGCTGTTGAGTGGACAATACAATGAACTTTCTTCTTTCTCCCTCGGGAAAAATTGCTCTATTTGAGTCTACGACATATTGTTATTGCTTTGTTTACTAATTGCGATTAGAGGTTAGGTATTTGTTCTCATTGTCATAGCACCCAATACTTTATTCAATTGTTTTCTGTAGAATAAATTGCATTTTTATTTACTGTGTCAATACTAGATTATCAAATCAATAGAGATGTGATGAGTCGAGTACTTCCTTGACTCGAGTCAGACACGACTCACGGCTATGTCAATTCGAGGCAGACTCAACTCGGTATAATCGTGAAACTTTGGCTTTTATCGGACGAGTTTGGGTCGACTCCCAGCGCTGCCAATAGGGTTATAGTTTGGCGAGCTGGCTCAACTCGCATTCAGCCAATAGCTCATAAGGTTCGCGAGTCAACTCGTTACGTTCCGAATTCGTAAAGTTTTGGCTTTCTCCGTATGAGTTCGGTTTCTTGACTTTTGAGGCTTTGAGCCAATAGCGTTTAAGTTTTGTGAGTCGGACTCGTTACGTTCAGAGTTCGTGTAGCTTCGGCACGTTCAGAGTTCGTGTAGCTTCGGCAATCACCGCACGAGTTTGTACCAACTCGAGTTGGCTCTTGACCCGAGTCAACTCAACTCGTCACATCACTACAAATCAAGGGTTTTATCCTTGTTGGGATTTTTGAAATAGACTAGGTCCACTAATTGAACTTATTATGAGATAATTGTTATTATGATTTATTAAAGATTGTGGTAAAGAGAAACAATATCATAGTTAGTTTGTTTCAATACCTAATAAAGGGATCAAATTTATTTAAATTACGGTATGCTTTCAGTACAATGGCAAATATTCATTAAAGCTTTAACTTAAACACAATTAAAATAACATGAAACAAAACGGTGAAGGGATCTAAAATAAGGTTATTTGTCCTAAAATAGACACGAAGAAAGCATATAATTTATTACTGGTATACCTATAATGAGCTATAGCATAAAACAAGCCTCCATAATAATTTATTTTGAATACTTAAGCCGGCTCCAGACATGCGCCATTCACTTCTTAACTATTGGATTTCAAAAACACAAAATCCTGTTGTTGGTTGAGTTGAGTGTTCATGATTGACTCAACTGTCTACCATTTCAAAAATCCGGTCCCAGGTGGCTAACAAGTGATTGTAAAAGAAACGTTAGCTAAAAAATTAAAAATTCTATTAAATGGTTCTGTTCATATCAAACAAAAACTTATTCTTATGATTATTATTTTTCTTGTATCCTTTCCAAGTGACTTTTAATGATGAAATGATCCAGTGCAGTTTAAATGACTTCAGTTTTAACACATTATCAGGTCAGAATGTCAGCTGATTTACAACTTCTTCATTTAATTAGAACTATCCATCGAACATTGGGCAGGTAATCGGTTGGACTTAGACGGTTGAAATAGACACCTATTTTATTCATAAATTTAATGATTATACTTTGAAGAAATCTTAAGGGAACGCAGAAGGAAAACACTTATCAGATTTTTAAAAAATGTGTATATTCTGGCAATACTAGTTTCAGAGAAAATTGTTAACATTTTGAAGTAAATACACATAGAAACACAACATTTACCCTAGAATACTATTTAACAAGGTATGTACAAAATCAGTTGTTTTTACAATTTCCAAAATAGACGAATTCCATTAGCAAGTCCAACATCATTGAAGATAAAGTTGAGAAGACCAGCAAGAGTAGCAATTGACAGAATGTATACTAAGGCTACTCCAATCTTGGGGACCACAGTGCCGAAGATGACTGGCCTCACATAATCAATGACGACAGCTTCAATACCCCTAAAATCAATCATTCTTTTACCTTAAAGTATTGTTTAGAATTATATACTTTTAGAACTTATATACGGTGGAAATTTGAACCCCAGGACTAGAAAAAGGATTTGAATCATCCTAGGATTCTAGTTAAGACGAGTTTGGTAATCAAGGGCTTAAAAATTAAAATGTCACACTTTTGATTGCACAACTGCACAGAAAACGCACAGAGTAAGTAAATCTAAAGATTTTTGATAATCTCTCTTCTATTTATTAAACAACAGTCAAAGGTTTTTAGGTCGGTTTGGCTTTGATGGTGAGATTGATTTAACAACCATAAACAATGTCTAAACTAAAAAAATGCAAAGCTGAAATATTACAACAGCGCTTGCACAAAGGTTCAGGTTGAACAATCAACTGATGGACAGTACAGTAGGCTACAAAAGAGGTTTGCCAAGTAGAGGGCAGGGCTGGTCCCAGGTGACCGGCCAATGGCGAAATAAAGGAGGAAAATAGTGTTAAAGTAGGCTTACCTAATTAAATTGATAAAAATCTACGATCAAGCATTTACTAAAGTTTAACACTGTTAAATATTAATAATGCTGAGAAAGATTTAATAAATAATTCACGGGAAAAAAGAGAAAATACACTTAATTTACCAGTGCATGTGCATGACGATGGTGAGTGCCATGAGGGTGTCCATGGCTTGTGAAGGCATGAGCATGGCTGCAGGCAGAACCCCAATCATGGCTGCAGCAAGTGCCCGTTCTGCTGTCCAGATCTTGGTGTGATCTCCGTGGGCTGACCGAGCTACAGGACTTGTAGACAACTGCTTCACAATCTCCAACTGTTAACAGATCCACATCTCAATTAAACATTTTTATGTTACTTTAAAACTGTTTTGAAAATACTTTTGAAAGTGTCGATTTGCCTATGAACGAGTCTAAAATAGTTAGCACAGTTTTGTTTTAATATATGTTAGATTTCTAACATTAATTTTTCTTAAGGAATTGAGTTAAAATCTAAGACTGATAAAATATGTTTACACATCCAAATTATAATTTGGCTATGTTACCTGTATAATATGTATATAACGGTACATGGTTTTTACTAATTTTATTAATGATATCACTCGAGCAATTCGACCCAATTTGTCAATGATTACTGATGATATCAAGGTATTTGCAGAGGTAAATTATTTATGTGACCAGAATAATCTACAGCTTCATCTAAATAGTATTAGTGAATGGTGGGAGGGAAAATATGGAACTCAAAATAAAATACTATAAATTGGTGTAAAATACCTGCATTTATTTTACAACAAATTATAGTTGGCCTATTTGATAATGCAATCAGGAGGCTAAACTTCAATATAATAAAAAAAATAATGAAACGTGATAAAAAAAATAGTGGAGTTTGAGGTCTACCAGAATTAATTATAGAACTTCTTTGAACATATCACATTAGATTAACCTTGGTTATTGTCTGAGTTCTTGTAGGTAAGATGTTTGTCATCCAAATCTAAGACAAAATAAAATATAAATCTCAAGTTCTTGAAACTAGGATAGCAAAAGCATATTTTTAAGGGAGTTGACAGGATAGTCCAAATTGAAATTGTCATATTAACCATAACAATGCTTGAGACAAATGTACTTCTTGGACTTTATAATAAGATGTAGGTACCAAGGGATTTCACCAGTGGCGGATCTAGAACAGTCACAGGGGGGGGGACCAGGGGGTTCGAGGTGCTCCCCCCCCCCAAACACCCCTGAAAAATGTGTGTAAACTAAGTCTCTAAAATGGCAGTTTTATACAATTTCTTTGTCCAAAGTGTGTGACAAATTATTTTATGCCATGTGTATGCACTACTGTATTACATGCATTAAAAAAATATATTATGTATGCCCGAGGGGGAGGGGGGCAGACGCCCCCTTCACCCCCCCCCCCTTAGATCCGCCACTGGATTTCACCTGACCATTGACCCTAAAATGCTCTCATTACCATGACATTGCAGCTTTCTCTTTGCAGTCTTTCATACATCAATTCAATTTAGTAGATTTTCTGTTACTTAGTCTTTGCCTGTTTCCAGTAAAGTTATTGATAGGCTAATAATATGGTAGGGTAATATGGCGGTTAACATTGGCGGATTAATAAATAATTTTGAATAAAACTTGAAAATATAAGTTATTATGAAATACAAGACAGCAGTATTTTTTAATAATTACTTTTGATTACGTCACCTTCCTTTATTACGTATAGAATTCGTTGAAGAATTGACCGACACAACAGAAGCCCACATGTTGGGTACTGGCTTTAAGATATGGGATGATCACATGTATTGATTGAGGTAAACAAAATCAGCTGTTTTATGTTTATGACATTGAAACAAAGATTACCGGTAGGTTGGATAACGGGTTGTGACTTATCACATACTTACCTGTGAAAGCTTAGTTGGCTTACAAACTTGATGGTCACTGTTGTTGGTTACAGGAGTTAATCGAGATATAGATGAGCTCAATTTAAGATGATTTTGAAGGAAAACATTTTTTAGGGGTGTTGCTGAAAAAAGTAATATAAGTTAGATAAAAAAATGGATCAATAAAGTAGGTAAACAATACATTTATCCTAATGAAAATTAATGCTTAATTTGAACTATAACGTTATCCTATTTTGTTTTAACTTTCAGTAACATACAGTGATGGTCCTTAAGTAAAAGTACGGTACGTAAATTACAGCCAAGAAGAATTGAAGCAACTTATTATTGTTTAAAATTATAAAAATATGTTGAATGAGCGGACAGAGTGAGGAACTTTCATCAGTTGAATTTTCTCTTTTATTTTATAAGACTAGGCCTAGTTTAAAAGTGAAACCGTATGCTTTAGGGGTGATGTCTAAGTTTAGTCCAGTTTGCAATATTTTTAGATTCAATATTTCATCAGACTTTCAATGGAATAACTTTAAGTTAAAAACATTCATTTTATAGTCCAGACCCACATTCAAACCAAAACCCCAAGTTATAGCTTAGGCTACAGTTCATTTAAAAGGAAAACACATTGATATCAGATATTTCAATGTTGGTCAAAAACTTCCATGTCCACAAAAACACCAGTAACATACCATCGATGTAAAAAACATCGAACATCGATAGAAAAACATTGACGATTCAAAAGCATCGGTTAACAATGCTCAACTCCAGTGTGAACCTAGCGTATATTTGAACGAGTGGCTGCACAAGTATCTGCCCTACACTCATTTGAATGAAAAATATCGATATAGATTATTCGATAGGCCTAAATTGATTATTTCATTCAGTTAGGTTAACCTAACGAACCAAACTTGATATATCGAACGAAATAATAGATATATTCATTCAAATGAGTGTAGGACAGATACTAAAGTGCAGCCGAACGAGTTTGCGATCCAGCATGATCAAACAAGAAGAATGGTGATTGGGTACACTTCCATATCTGTTGGCACAAACAACCAAATGAGTACCTAATATTGATTATTCGATTGTTTAATTCGATATACCGAGTACAAATGGACTTCCTCGTTGTTTACCACTGAAACATAGGTTACTTACATACCTTTATGCCATTAGGCTATACTATTATTTAGGTCAAATATCTGGATACAAACTAAGAACTAAGACCGATATTAGGAAATTCAGCTTCGAGAAGATGTCTTAGGCAAACTTACGTGTCTACGAAACTGATCTGTAGACTATTATCCAAAGACCATTGGCCAAGTACTGATTGGCCCTAGCCTACATACCCTTTTTAGGAGGGCGCATCCCGACAACTGCTCTAACCTACCTTTCAATATATTTCCTGAATTACGAAGTAGGCAAGAAAAAGACATTTCAGTCGATTAATTAGGTAGTCTTAAAGCTTGAATAAATGAGGACAGTTAGTTAGTAGGCCTAGCAGCGAAAAACTTGTTCTGCGTCCTACAAAAAAATACCAACAACAGAGAGAGTAGAGACTGACCAGCAGACGAGCAGTGGAGAGTACAGACAGACAGACAGAAAACAGACAGCTGGAGCTCATAGACAGTCGACGGACGACCCTTTGGCCTTAGAGTATGAAAAAGATTCCAATGCGAACTGAGCAGACAGAAGAGGAAAAAATATCAGTGAAGTGAAAGGAAAGCAGCATCATTGAATATTATCATATTAATATATGTTCGTCGGTCATTCAAGATTCAGGAGTCACATCTCAATATTTATATCCTTTTTATATTAGGTATCTACAATTGAGATAGACTACTTTTATGTACTGGTAACTATTCTGTTAAATTCGGATATTTTAGCACCATAAGCATTTGATACTATGGTTAATTGCAATGTCAGGCAAAGACAATGTTCATTGTGGATGTAGCCTCCGGATTGCCAAATAATATTAAAAAGGTTTAAATACCTGCTATCAAGCAATCCATTTAATTGCAGTTGCAACTAGTCTCAACGGTACTTTCCTGTTAAAGGGAACATTCATTATTATCGATGATTTTTTCGATATATCAATTTATCGATCGAGGTTTTGTTTACTGATCCATTACATATTGACAACTGATCTTGTTTAGGCTAAAATAGTCTATTATAGAAAATAAGGTACTATTATATTTTAGAAATTGTTATTCACCTATTTTGTGGTCCATCTGGTTTGTGTTCTTCTGAACAGGAGTACCCTTAGAGAATTTGCTCTGTTTCCTTTAGACTGGGACCATGGCATTAATCCAGCTACTGTGATGCCATAAATTGTGGATATTTATATATCTGTGAATGCGATACTCCCTAGTGTGGATTGACGCCCGCAATAGTGAGTACTGATTCGTAAATTACAAGGCAGAAATATGGTTTCGATTCCACTATAAACTGTCACTCATATCAGTTTCCAATGGCTGTATAGCTATGTCCACACTCCTGCGCTTTCAATTTCAATGTGCCTTTCAGCTTTCAATTCAATATTCAATTCAACATGCATCAACGCAAACAATATCGCATGCGCCTTGAGGCATGCCTTTTAGCTGCCCACACTCATGCGCCACCATCCTCACTTTCTAGATACCTTTTCCTAATTCGGTTAAGACGTCAATATTCTGATAGGAGGGATGGTGCGGCAAATTTAGTGTCAATAAAAGTTCCAAACCGTAAGAAACCATATCGGATAATATAGATAAAGAAGTACTCAATTATAGTACTCAAAATTTTCTAATTTTATTTTAATTTATTAATTCTCTTAATGTAATCTTAATCCATTCAATTTATTTTAATTTTTTTATTACTCCGTATGTCCCGCTAACATAAATAAGAGCAACAATCTTCTATGAATTCTGAGGTTTCTTAGTTATTCAATATGCTTCAAACAACTGCAACACGGACGACTTATCAAAAATGTAAAGCAGTTGCAAGTTGAAACGCACAGAAATCCAAGGCTGGTGGATTGTCTTGCGCTACGCTGTGCGCTGTGGAGGAGTCCCTTCCGACTCATTTCGTGCATGCCTTGACTCTTGAGGCAAGCGTCACTCTTGCGTCCATCTGCTTCAAGGCATGCGTTAAGAGGCATGCGCTTGGCGCGCACAAAAGCGCACGAGTGTGGACATAGCTTATGGGCTATTAGTTAACAGTCCTGTCCGAGGAACATGTCCGCCTTAGTCTACTACAAGATCGCTTCATTCATCTTACACTCATACTTGCGGGTTTAAAATACCTTAAATACCTTTAAAATACCTTTTATTTAAGTTAAAAGTAGTATTGAGTATAAAAAGTATTCTATGTGTAAAAGAAAAAAATATTCACATTTTCAATAGTTTGTATAATGATTGTTTTTACATTGTGTGTGTATTTGTGTGAGTGTATGTGGGGGATAGGTAGTTGGCTGAAGTCTGCTGTCTGTTGTCCCTCCTCCAGCCCTGGTTTAAGTCAGAGACTTGAGAGAATGAGAATCCATTCATTGTCATTTGTCATCATTGCAATGCTATATAGACAACGTCAAAAAACAAAAGAAACACAATAATATATACAGTATAAAAGGAAATAGTACAGTGTACTTGTCAGACTAGCAGATAATGAAGTCTAATAATAGCAGATAATAACAATGATGTTGGACTTATTGCCAAGCTGCCTCCTGGAACAATCTTTTTGGCTCCCCTTTTTCACTTTCCTCTGCTTCCAAACCAGGGCCTTTTGAGGAAAAAAATCCTATACCATCACGTAGCACCAAAGTACAAGGACCATCTACATGCCAATCAGTACTTGGAGACATGCAGGCAAAGATTATAACTAACGTTAGATGGTGTTAAAAACCATTTGATTCATTACACATCCCTCAACATCATCCATTAACAATAGGTGATTTGAATTAGGCCTATTCGTTAAACATATTGTAAGATACCAACTCGTGTTGTGCCGATAGACATTGTCTCATAGTAGGCTAATAAAAAAAGACTTAACATTTTTACCTTAAAACAAAAATTACACCTGCTACGCAAAATGTTGCATATAGCATGTACAAACTTTGCTTAAACTAAAAAATAATGATAAGGGCTATTCTCTATACATTTGAGTTTTAAAGTGTGTTGCTTTATCTGCAGAGCTGCTTAACCTGCTTTTTTGACAATTTACTTTTTATTTTTAATCAAGTGTACTGTGCAATGTGCTTATTTTTCTTTTGATCCAAATGTTTAATTTTTTTTTGCATTTTTTTCTGTGTCATGACGTTTGTAATACTTTTCTATACCGGTACTGTATTTGAAAAATAAATTTAAAATAAAATAGTTATCAAGATTAATAATTAATTCTGTATAAGGATAATAAACATATTCAAAAATAAAGGAGTATATATATAACTTAAAAGCTAAGTACCTGGGGACCAAGCTTTGCTCGGAGAAAATCATTAGTTTACTCTGAGAGCAGTCTTAGTATTGCAGATACATTAATCCACTCCTATACGGTACTCCACACTGCTTGTCTTTACTACTTCCTTCACCACTCCCTCCACTCCCTACATCGTGGACCTGTTTCCCTCCCTTCCTAGAGCATTTTTCGATTGCAGATACATCAATCTAACTGCCACAGATTCCCACACTCTGCAATGCTAGCCTTACTACTTCCATCACCACTTCCTACGTTTTGGACCTGTTCCTCTCCCTTCCCATAGCATTTTAGTATTTTAGATACACTAATCCAACTGTCACAGACACAGTTAGTCAGTTAGTCTATAAAACTCATTTCTAAAATGTTAAAACGATTTTGTAAAATAGTCAAGAAAGTAGATTGGCAAGTCCTAAATCTAATCGACTGTGGGGGAAAGGTAGTTGAAGATAAGAAAAAAAATAAAGAAATGAATCGAAGGACCCGCCTAAATTAGGCAAAGAAAAAATGCTAAAGGAAGCAATTCAAAATTTATATTGTTGGGATTTGTCAGCTAAATATTTTACATAGGTAAATAAATTATATAAAAAGAAGGAGCAAGACAAGTTTCAATTTAATGTACAAGGTTGTTCATTTTCTAAGAGTAAATTGGTCAAAAAACTTAATATTGAAACTCACCGAGAACGTCAATCATTATTTACAAGTTCATTGATGGAACACCGTCTTGATAGCTTGATTCATAGCTTCTTGAGTGATTTAAGTTCAAGTTCATTCACTGTCTTGATGATTAAAAGTATCACTTTCAAAATTGTCTTCTCCTTCATGTAGAATTTAACAATGTTCATAATACGAATTGTATAGTGTAGTTTAAAGTAAAATGAATAATATTTGCTTGAATCCCATGAAAAATTGTATGTGGGTTTTAAAATAAAATTGAGAATAAAATTATATGTAGTGATTGTACTGAAGATAGAAACACAATGTTTTTTTATAATAATAAAAATGATGTAAATAAACATTAAATTAAATAACTTTCAGCTGTCAAGAAATTGGGATGGGAAAGTAAGATAGGAAATTGTAATTAGAACAAAGAAGAAATAAAATTATAAATATATTAAAATCAAACTTGAAAAAAAATGGAAAACTGATGAACTACTGTAGTACGCAACAACGCCGGCCACCGTTGAACGTCTGGTTCAACCAAAGTTGGTGTAACTCATTGGCATTGGATAGACTTGGGGCACTGGGCGAATGTATTCTCCATCAGTGGTCTTGACTTTTACCACACGGACAATGTTGTCTTTCCCAGGAAGTAATTCACTGATACGGCCGGTTGGCCAATGACATGGTAGAGTTGAGGTTTTCAGGAGAACTAGATCACCCATCTTGATGTTTGCAGTCGATTTTGTCCACTTGTGACGTTGCTGGAGATGATGCAAATATTCTAGGCTCCATCGTTTCCATAGATGTTGTGAAAATTGTTGGACTTGTTGCCAGCACAAAAGTCGATTGGGCGACACATCGAGTAGACATGGTTCAGGGATGGAAACTAATGGTGCACCTGTCAAGAAATGTCCTGGAGTAAGTACATCTAGTTCTTGAGGATCAGTTGAGAGAGGTGTAAGAGGTCTCGAATTGAGAATCGCCTCAATCTGCGTTAGCAATGTCATCATTTCAGGAAGTGTGAGGATGGTTTTATCAATAACTCTAACTAGGTGTCGTTTAACGCTTTGAACTGTTCTTTCCCATAGGCCACCGAAATTCGGAGCACAAGGAGGATTGAAATGAAACCTGATGTCTGACGGAGCAAAGTGGCTTTGTAATTTATCACGTGCATCTGAAGAAGCGATGGCGTGCTGTGTGATACGGTTTAATTCATTAGCAGCACCCATGAAATTGGTGCCACAGTCACAGTAGATGTGAGAACAAATTCATCGACGACTAATAAATCTAGTGAGCGCTGCGATGAATGCTTCTGTTGTCAAGTCAGTTACAAGCTCTAGATGCACTGCTTTAGTAGTCATACATATGAACAAACAGAGATAGGTTTTGGTAATTTTAAGAAATCTCATGTTGGCTATTTTGGTATCAAATGGTCCTATGAAATCAGTTTCAGT